AAAAAAAAAAACATTCCAAACTTCTCCTGTATTGTTTCAAACGAGTGACAACTCGCCGACGTGCGCTAACACGGAGGCTGCCAGGCCAGTGTTGGATTCCTGAACTGTGCTTTATTTACGTTCTGGGTACCACCACGTTGACAGACGAGACATTTTCAAACCCCTGAGAAGTGTGGGTAATTGCCAGCAAGGGGCTGGCTAATGGGAGAGAAGAGGATAATTATTAAGGGGGGGGGGGGGGGGGCTTATTGGGAACGAGCTGCCAATGAACCGCCAGCGTTACGAGATGGAGGCAGTGGCGCGTATGGTATGTGCTGTATGAGGCTAAATAAGAAGTTGGAAGAGCAGAATTTGTTGGGTCAGAATGTGCTGGCATGAAATCGGGTCCCACGGATGTTTATGGCGTGTTTTTATTTTTTTTTCCTTGCTCGTTTGTCAGCTGATGATGTGATGGTGTCTGGGATTCTGGAGATGAATTATACCCTGTGCCTCCATGTTTAATGTTTTCACTCTCAACACTTCCACCCCGTTAAACCATAAACGACCTCCCAATCCAGACTGTTGAGCATCGAGTTTCAAAATTAAAAAACTGTCGTGGTACGCCGTCGTTTTTATAGTAAAGCGAGTAATGTTGAAGGATGGGGTCATAAATGCTCAACCTAAATCTAATGTGGGTGTGGTTTTTCTCAAGAGGGCACCATTTTAGAGCTGAAAGACAAATGTGTTATGATAACTTTCTCCTGTAGTCACTTTTATTAAATAAACAGCAGCTGTGGAGACCAAAGTGAGACACATGTTTTTTAATTAAAATGATTAAAAACTACATTATCCGCAAACTTTACAAGCACTCAATATGGAAGCATAAACGATGCCAATACATACATAGATGAGATTCTTAAATTAACATATCAGTTTCAGATGTACATGCTTTGAGCTTAAAGGGAAATGAAAGGAGCAAGATGAATGAACATGATGGTATATGTAAAGGAAAAGGGGCATCTAGTGAAAAGAAAACCATTGAGGAAAACGTAACATTGTGCTCTTTTAATCCAACAGCAATGAAATACAAATCACTCGTACATTTTTGGCGTCCTAGTTTTGCATAAAGAATGATATCGGAGATCAATCAAGATGCCAAACCTCTTTCCCATCATCCTGACAGTATTACAGGCAGTTGTGAAGATCTTTGGTTTTTTTCTTTTTAAGGAACCACACAAGTATTACCAAGTAAACATGTGGTTTCTCTAGCTGCATGATTGTTGCCCGTAATAAAGAAAGGTCCTCTTCTGTATAAAGACTCCAGAGGAGAGAGCAGGGAAACATGCTGTTCCTCTAAAGGGAGATACGAAGACATTGTTACCGATTGTTTAAAAAGAAAGAGGAATAAGGCAGAAAGTCTTCATGTGAGATCTACAAAACACCTTGCATAACTTTTTTTTTTTTTATACCTGAGCTGCAAATACAAGCCTTTTTAGATCACTATTCACTTTGAAATTGAATCTCACTTTCGTAGCAAATAAATCTCTCCCAGTCATGGACAGACACTACACCCCTTCCCCCCCGTGTAGAAGCGCTTTCTAGTAGATATGAGACACCTGATAGCTGCTGTAAATGCCTTCACACAGCTCGTACCCAGCAGATCTGTGCAGGCGTGTGAATTATTGGCAGAGGCATGAGCCCCTGGCACCGCTGATCAGTAAATTAGACCAGAAAAGAGAGAATCAGGGCCATAAAGGCCTCAAAGCGCTCACTGATTTTACAGAACAAAGGGACCTGTGCACAACAAGGGAAGTTTTTTTCTTTTTCTTTTTGCATAACTGCCCTTGGTGCTGGTAAGAAGATACCACTCTGACCCCCCCCCCCTCCTCCTCCTATCCCTTCATCCTCACACTCGTCCTCCTCCAGGGATAGAAGGATCACATGTGTAACTGCAGGGGAAAGGCCCTCCGGACAGGGGGAATGTGCACACACACACACACACACACACCTGTGGTGCCGGAATATGTGTGTGTGTGTGTGTGTGTGTGTGTCTAATCGTGACATCATTAATTACTTGGCGATGGATTTGTTCAAAGGACACTTAAAGTGTGTTCGGTAGATCAAGTGAAGGATTATTATAGTTAGGCAGAGTTTCAGATATTTGTAAATATATAACCAAATAAAATGAAAATTCAAACATAGTGCAAAAATTAAGCGAATGGCTTATTTAGCGCAGGAAGGCAATTAGGAAACTGTTTAAAGGATTTCGGCTCTAGATACACCATCTCACTAACAGAATCTGTTGGGCGTGGTTCATAATGAATAAAGGTTTTTAGTGCATCAAAGCTACATTGGAAGACAAAATAATTACATTAAAGTTTTTTTTTTATAATTTAGTAGCAATATATTACACAAATTCCAAATTTATACTTAACAAAATAAGGCGTATGTATGCATGTATGTATGTGTACATATTTATATATATATATATATATATATATATATCTATATATATATATATATAAAAAGGAAAGGTAGAGAGAAATGCTTAAGGATTTTGGGTATATACGCATATTTCCTCACAATTTGGCTCAAATAAATATCAAAAGTAAACCGTGTCAATCCAGTTAAAAAATACCAGACTATAACTTTTTTTCAGAAAAGGGCTTGGATAAGAAATGTAAGGGAAAAAGTAAAAGAGTAGACAACAACAGGACTGAAATATTCCTGCAGAAAAAAAAAGATAATTAATACCCCTCTGTGTTAGTCTTTTACATTCCTCAAAATATCAGCCATTGTCCTGTTGAAACTCGATGCACCGATAACACAGCAGAGGAGAATTCATTTCTTAAACATGTGAGTCCTGACAGATCAAAATGACTCTTCTCATGCGGCTATTGTGTTGAAAACATCCACTGCACACCGCAGCACCGAAGGCTAATGTGTCCGTTTGGATAATAAAGGGAGCACATGAAACAGCCCTGGATGTTTTCCCAAGTGACACGATATTCAACTCTTACAGAAATTAAAGCTTAAAAGGGGCCAATTGCTACAGCAGTGCAGCCATGCCTCGCAAAGGATGTCTGAGCCACTCGGGCGGGGGGGGGAGTAAACATCGGACCGCTCTTCTCCTTCCGACCAAGTGAGTTGGATCAGTCTGAACAGTCCGTGGGATGAATGTCTGCTGTGGTTTTCCAGTTCATCATCAGCTGTTCCTGATCATACCGCCATTGTCTTTTGTTCGTTTTGTCTTGTACCAGTTTACTTCAGACAAATGATCCTGAACTGTTACTATGGCTTCTCTGGTTTTACCCTCACGTCTATTTACAGTTTCAGCTGAACATCTTCTCAACTTCTATGGCTTTTATTGTCCTTTTTCTTCTTTTTTTTTTAAGAGTACATGTTTTAGCACAGTGCAGGAGTTTACTCAAAATGTACAAAATACATGGAAGTCTGGAGAGATTTGGTAAAAGTCTTTAAAGCGAGTGCCGAAGAAATAAAAGACAAACATGCAGCATTTCTATATTTTTTTTTTTGCTTCTTTTTTTTTGGGCTTTCAGTGTTCATGTTTTTTTGTTCATCATCCTCTTTTACATTTCCTCCCTCACCTCTCCTGCACCCTCTGATTGTCTAGCCGTCTGTCAGTCAGTAAGGCCTCCAGACGGACTCATCCAAGCGGCCCGAGGCGCTCATGGCAGTGGGGGAGTTGCTGTGGCTGCCGTCGGCCTCCACGCCCTCGCTGTGGTTGTTCAGGCCCGGGTTCATCAGGCTGTTGGTCCCTCCGGCGCCCGCGGCCCCCGAGCAGGACAGCAGGCGGGTGGGGGAGCGCTCTCCCCCGGTGTTCCCCGGCGCCACCATGGAGAACTGGTAGGATCCGGAGCCCGTGCCGTAATACAGGTAGGAGTTGGACTGGAAGTTCTGGCTTTGGTTGTTTGCGTAGGGTGGCGGCAGATAGTATCTAGAGGAGGCTGACATGCTGAGGCCGCTGATGCCGGTGCTGGAGGTGTTGGTGGAGTAGGGGAAGGCCCCCGGGTAGTTTATGCGGGGGTCTGAGAAGCGGGGGTCTGAGAAGCGGGGGTCAGTCAGCGGCGACAGAGACGGGAAGGTGGTCCTCTGGTTGAAGAGGTCTGTAGACCCTGTTGGCAGAAAGAAGGAAACAAAAGGTTAGAAAGAGTCAACTGATATTCAGCCATGAATGAAAACTGCTGCTGTGATTATGAAACAAGGGGCTCAGAGATATCTCAATTTCTATTATTTTTTTTTTTTTAAAGCCCCCCCCTCCAGAACAGCAAATCACTCCAAAACCCCCAAGTCCGAGCTCGGATTCCCTGCGATACGTCTGTTCATGGAAATGTTTGCTCAAAGTAATGAACTGAGACATTTCTTTGCTTAATAACAGTCATCAAGCACTGACAGCACATCATCCCACAGCCCCGTACACAAGTCTGATATGAACGGCCCCCCTCGCCACGTCCCTCCAACCTCTCCTTCAAAAGGAGAGCAACGCACGTTATTTTGTCTCTCTCGCAGCAATGAAAAGAGGCATTGTCGGGGCTGTGGGGTGTTTTGTATAAACTCCGATGGCTTGTTGCTCTGATGTCATCTCATAAATCATAGTTGGAGGCAGACGGTCACAATCGAAGACAGTCGTGGAGACGTGGAGACGAGGAGATGGAAAAAGGGAAAAAAGCAAAGGAATAGATGCAAAGAGGAAAAAAAACAAAAACCGAGAGTGTGTTTCTATGTGAATATACTCGAAGCTAATGGGTATCACAGTCCAAGACCTGTCAGAGTTAACTGCTAAGTGTAATCTCACAGGTAACAGAGCACTGTGAACCCAGCTGTTCGTACTTCAATTTCACTGCACACTTACTGATTTACTGAGCTTACAAAGGGGGGAAAAAGAGAAATTGCTCGAGGGTTTGACTTGGCAGTTTGCTTCTCTAAAATGTTGGGCCTTTGCTGTCACCAACTTAGTTCCTTAACTTATCACTTATATGAAAACATTCACAGTGTATCAGTTTCTGCAATGTTTCTACTTCCACTAATTGCTCTACATTATTATAATCACTCAGTGGTGTGAAAAAGTCAGACATGTCGTGTCTTCGTACTCGTGACACTCAAGATAAGGTGAGCTGGCCAACGGCCAGGCCGAAACACTTTTGTTCTTTAAACGCCCTCGACCTGGTTGTACAATGACGAGGCAGAGTTCCTCATACCTGATGTCAGCACACACCTGCTGCTTGTAACCACACACACACACACACACACACACCTCTGTCCGTGGTCTCATTCGTTTGTCCGCGTGTAGCATTCATGGGTCCAATGCGGCCACATGACTGCAAAGTGTAAAATGTGGATTTGGATGGCAGAGAAAAGAGAGCTTGTATTTGTGAAAAAAATGCAAGCGCTTGCACGCTATAGCCCTGAGGGGGGAGAATGCCAAACTTGCGTGCCACAGTCTCGTTGAAATGTCTTTTCCCTATGTCTGGAGAACTGGGTCCATTTTCAGCTGAAACCTGTTCCTTTGCAATTTCCATGGCCCATGCTATTATTTTTTTTTGCAACAGCACACTTCTGCCGTTGAATTTCCTCTTATTTTTGGGATGAGGGAGTTTGGTGGTGGGGGGGCTGTTTCTTTTTCCAGAGTCTACCAGGCACCGGAGTCGGGCTCCGTATCTGATTTCACGCGAGGAAAATCCGAGCCTTCAGCTGCTGTTGATTCGGGTGAAGTGGAGTCGGCCCACTAATTCCTACCGGACTCCCTTGCTCGTTCTCTCTCTCTCTGTCTCTCTGTCCCTTCATCTCTCTCTCTCTCTCTCTCTCTCTGTCTGTGCTAAATTTAGGCTTCAGGGTGAAGCTGGGGGAGGGCGGACGTGTGGCGCAGGGACTTTGATGGCTCTGGCTGCTGCGGCCCACCCCGCTCACCATCTCCATTTAATTCGAGCCAGTGGAAACGTGTCGGCTAAACTGCGGTGGGCATTGACTACTGTGTTCTGTCAGGGGAAACTGGACTGGACACTTATCACAACACCTTAATGGGCTTGTACAGAAACAAGCAGTTGGCTCTGCGCCAGGAGGAGCCTGCTACCACCTTAAAACTCTCTCCAGCACAGTAGCTCCCTCTGGAGGCGAGGGCTGAACAAACTGTTTTGTAATTGAGAAGCAGAGTTTTTGCCGTCTGCTTTTTCTCTCCCTTTAACCATGTTGCATACCTCACTGCATCCCCACCCTCCCCCCACCCAGTATAAGTACAGGCCTCGCTGTTGTGGCTGTGGTAACGGTGGTGTATCTTTGGCAGAGAGGGGTCTTCCTAACTGAGCCTGGTAGTAGCTGCCTGTAACCTCTGCGGCCCGAAACCACACATGATCTCCATTAGGCTCATCTGAAACGTGTTGACTAAATTGCAGGGACAGGAGAGGGGATGGACCCCAGAGGGCTAGCTGGCACAGTCTGCTGTCTGTGATGTTCCCAGTCTACGTAGCGGGTAGCTGGGAATTGGGGCTTTTATAGAGAACATAGTGTTCCAGTGCTCCTTTTCCTCCTCGAGCTCTCGAGCACAGCGCCCCGCTCTTATTTTAATTCTGCAACGCCAAGGGTGGAGTCGTCCTCCTCCTTTCTGCTCAGCTCAAGAAGTCCACTAGTCCACAGTCAAGCGTGCAACCCAGATACGACTGGAGGTTTGCCTCATTTGCGTACGGGGAGAAACTGATTTTGGTTGTTAACATAAGGGCAAGTTTGAGGCGGTCATGTCTGTGTACGTAATGGTGCGCGGAGTTATGTGTGTTTGTGTGTCTGTGTGTGCACGCGTGTCCGCATGTGGTGGACTTGGCGATGGGGAGATGCAAATACAGGCGCTCACCTGTGAAATGTTTACTCAGGCTTGATGCAAACTGTGACGGCCAGCGCCGAGGGAATGGTGTCTCAGGCAAATAAGTGGAGGGGGAGGAAACGAGAGTGAGCCCGTCCGGCTACGCACACTGCGCGCCGAGATTGTTTTCCTCATATCATCGGCAAAGAAGCGCGGCAGCTCCTCTTTCCGAACTGGTTTGGGTGGTTTCGAACGCTGCATGCCATGAGGATGAGCAATTATTGTTGATAACAGGGTGATGGTGACGAGGCAACTCGATGCAAAGGTAGAGCTGCAGCGCGGGCCAAATAATAGGAGACCCAAATGAACACAAATGATCTCCAGGTGTTTATTTAAGCACCAAGGCTTTGGGGCTGGAGCATCATGTCGAATGCAAATGATAATCACCTCTGTACTGTGGCACCATGGTCGACAGCCCCAAAGCCTCATCCATGTGCGGCACCTCATCATGTGAGCACAGAGGATTTTGCATGTCGCCGACTTGTGACATGCAATACAAGCAAGGGTAAAGGAAGTTTGTGATTACAAAAAAGAAACCTGAGATTTTCCTAATGCGTCGTCAAACAAGGCGGCGTGATGATTAATATGTTTGTTTGTTAAGTAAATTCTGTTCTATGAGAGATATGATACTTCCTCGTAAAGCCGCTGACGCAATGTGTGTTTTGCTGACCCCGGACTGTGTGTACTGTTATTGTAAGGATAAAGGCATTTGAATACAAGTAGCATCATCATTCATTACACTTTCTTACATCTCCGTCATGTTTTCTTTAGGTCCCGGCATTTCCAGTTTTAGGCTGCAATGCCTCCACTATTTACTGTCCATGGCGGTCGATCACATTTTTTCACACCATCATGAGCGTTTTGCTCCGCAGTGAACCTCTCGCTAGAAAATGCCTCGCACAAGCAGTAACACATGTAAATATGTTATTCCTGTGTCTCAATACTCTGCTTCAGGCGTCATGTTATTTTTTTGCTGAACGGCAGAAAAGAGAACAAGCTCACTGAGCTGAATCCAAAAGTTTTTAAAAAAATTCTTTTCTACTGTATGTGTGTGTCTGTGTCCTCAGTGCAGTGTGAGCGGATGACTCAGCACGTCTAGTGTGGCGTGGTGGTTTCCAGGATAGGGGACAGACTGAGGGGGCTGTTAGACAGCAGCAAGGGTCCAAATCGCCAAGAAACAAATGAAAGAAAGACGGAGTGGGAGAGAAGGAAGACGAAGGCAGGGTGGTGGCGTTTTAGGAATGTTCTTGGGTGTAGTAGGGCCCTACAGGCGAAACAGACTCGAAAGTTGTCACACCAAATGGCACACCCTGTGTTATGCCAGTCTTTCCCGCTTGTCCTCTTCAAGCATTGTATGTTTTAATTTGAAAGGCCGGCGGAATGTCTAATTAGAAGAGATTAGTTTTGGAAGTCTTCAGTTTATTCTTCAAGTGTACCATTTTGAAAGGTGTGAAGACTTTGGCAGTCCACAGAGCCTCAATTATCTCCTCTGTATTTTTCGAGCCTGTTTGTGCGCACTTGGTATTTAAGGGCCATTGCTTGCTAGTGACCGCACCCCTCGACGCTGCTCTTTGATTGGGCCGCGCGTGATGATTATGTCTCGGCAGCTAACAAGCACCCTTCCAAACAACTTTCTCATCGACACACACACACACACACACACTCGCACACATGCAATTCACATTCGATTTGCAGTCAAATTGGGACAGCTGAGCTTTACTCAAAGAAATAGGTAAAAGAGAGGCTTGAAAGAGTTGCCAAAAAGCATAGTTACACAGACGCCTGTGGCATAGTAAAACAGTCAGGAAGAAGGGCATTGCGGTGTCTCACCTGGCCATGGTCTCAGGTCCTCTTCCACCTTGCATGTCTTCAGAGCGGGGGCATCCATTTGCTCCTGCCACAGGGCTGGTGTAACAGACAATATGAACAATAGGTGAGCACTAGGATCTGCTTATTAGGAATAAGTCAGTGGAGTCTGTGCAGGAATGCAAAATCTTTTTTTTTTTTTTGTGGAACTCAGAGAAAATGTGCTGGTTGTATAAGTGCACAGGGTGAGGAAGTCACTGCCTGCACCATAGAAATCTCAAGCACAGTCCAAAAACATCTCCCCATGACAGACTTGTCAAAACTGTCTTGACATCTGGCGGTTTGGAGATGTGTCTTCCTGTCACAGGTCGGCCTCTGCTGACTGAGCAGCGAGGACTGGGAAAGAGGAGGGGCGGGGTTTTTTTTCTCACCCAAGTGAGACCCGGCCTGGAAAAACATGCCTGGTGGGTGCATGGGAGATATTTTTGGGTCTTTCAAGGCGAGACACCGGAGGGGCCCAGCGGAGACCTGTGAAGCGCAGGACACTCGCTAGCCTGTCCAGCTGAGCTGTCAGGAAGCGAAGGAGGGTCGTGGACCCGCTGGCCCAGCGCGTGGGACCCTGCTTCACACTCCACGGCAACACCGCAGGAGGGCTGAACACAAACGGGGGCTGTTTGCTCTCGGGTCTGAGACGGTGCAGTTGTTACGCGACTGCTAGCACGGAGCTCTGTGGACGCGGGGCAGTCTCAGTCTGCAAGCCTCTCCGAACACTGTTACAGATTGTTCCAAACTTTTTTTTCCTCAAATGCATATCAATGTTTAAGACAAAAACCTGCATATTATAGAAACCATTTTTAACCCGTGGAGCTCTGCTTTTTAACGACCGCAGCAGGCAGCCATGTGGTATCGCTATGACTCTATGCCGTTTGCTGTTGAGATACCGCAATATAGTAAACTCCTAACCTCCTGTAGTGGCAATTAAGGTGGAGAAGGATGCCAGAAGCACAGAGGAGGGGGGGGGGTGTAGCGCTGGGCTGTTCACCTATAGCCGCACTGGGCTCGGCATGTGTAAGATCTGTGCTTCCCCTGGAGCTCCTCCACTTCCTCTGCAAAGACCCAAATCAGCACTCAGTCACCGAGAGGTCCCGCACTATACCTCACAATGGCAAATTCTTACACATAAATGGCCTTATTCAGAGAGGCTTGCAAGCAGCTGGTGCGATTCGCTCAAGAAAATAAACACTGCCTTCAAATATTTTGATTGGCCAGCAGACAACGTCAATACCAGAGGCACAGATTACCCCTGTTAATAAGAGGGCCCCCCTGGGCGGAGCCGAGGAGGTGGGGGCGGCGCGTGGGCAGAAGCGGCGACTGCGTCACTAATAAGCAGCTTTGGGTTGGTGCCAGCCATAGTTCTTTTTTTTTTTGCACTTTACAGATGCACTGGTTTTTGAAGTGCATGTGTAGATGAAAGGCCTGGCTGAGAGGACGTTTGAGCCAAGATGGCGTCCATCCTCGTGACTCCGGATCCAGCAACGCCTCTGAGACATGTAAAGCGCCTGCCGTAATGAAGCGTGTCATTGAGACACAGTGAATGCCGGTCCTTGTGCTGGCTTCCTGTTTCGCTTAGGCCTTAGGCGTCGCAACGGGGAGAGAATGTGAGAGAGCAGGCAGGACAGAAAGAAAGACGCCAGCGAAGGGAAGGAGGGAGAAAGGGAGCGTGTTAGAGAGGGGAGGAACACGGCCTTGGCTCAGCTATGTGGGACATTTGATATGTCTTTTGGGCCCTCACTTATAACGTGAGCAAAAACAAACACATGGGGCTGAAAAATCCTATGTTCTCTTTGAGAGCTCGTCGTCCTCCCACCCTTCCCCTCTCCACAGACTCAATAGAGACTGTTCATGGCACACATGTAGTTTCTGTAATTGCTGAAATGTAAAACTCAGCCGGACTCTGATGTGAAATTATAACTTACACAAACGGTTGAGTCTGGTAAAAAACAACTTGCTCTCACTTCTCTTTTTCTTTCTTTTTTTTCACTAAGGAGGCGGCTTCAAAAGATTTTATTTTTTTTTTGTCGAAGAACAAAAACATTTTCAGTTTGAATTATTCATCTCGGGGTCACAAAAAGAGAGTAACCACAAGTGAAGCTTTCAGGCACCATAACAAATAAACTCCGCGGCAGCCATTGACATATTATGTAAATAGTGGAGTGCAGAAGTAAAACAGAGTGTCTAAAGGACCGGTCCAGATTCCTGCTCCTTTTGGTTGTATTGGCCTCAGAGGGCGAGCTTCCTGCTCGGGTTTGGCAGAAATCAGCATGAAACCCAACTAGCGTGACGGCTCTACTCTAAAGTCCACACCACAGCTACCTGACGGTGCTAATTTCCTGTCTCGCGCTTGCTTCTAATTGGCTGATCATGTCATTCTGGATGTGTGAATTAGTGTGTGCCTCTCGGCCGCGGCGGTAGCAGAGTGCCGCCTCGAACCTGGGGGGGCCGGCCGGCTTGTTTATGTGGTGTAAACAGTGTGGTCGCTGCGGACGAGGCGGGAGGGGCACTGCTGCATTGGGCCGGTCCTCCATCAAACAGGACTTTCTCAAGTTAAGTCCAGTCCAGAGGCCGCGGCCTGAACATACTGGACAACAGGGCCAGAGCACAGCTGCGGCAGATGTGTGCCAGTGGAGCAAGGAGGAAGCCAGAGGTACTAACATTTGTGGAAGTGTCATAAATAAAAAAGTTTTGCTTCTTTAGAATAGGACTTTAAAAAAAAAATTAAATGAATTATTTCTGCAAGGTACTACTGACGTTTTTTAATAACACCACCACATGGGTCACACATTCAAACAGAGCGGCGCACACACACACACACACATTTGGGCCCTCATCAAAGCATCGAGCACTTGACTTGATGGCGGAACGTTATGCTAGTATCTGATACTCGTCTTCAGAGAGGAACACACAGGTGTTGGAACAAATAACATGTTAAATGATACCACCTCAAAAGTGCCAGGACTTTTTCTTTTTTTCTTTGGATGATTAAATTGATACTTTATCCCCCCCCCCCTCACCGTTAAAACACATTTAAGTTAAAGGAGCCGCCTTCGTCTGGGCTGTCTGTTAGAGGCTGTGCCAGGGGCTTGTTGAGTTTTGTCTGCATTTAAAATGGAACGAGGTAAAACTGGAATCCGTTCTCCACTTTGAAGAAAATCTAATTTTCTACCATCGGTTTGCTTGGAAAGAACTGTGTATTATAAACGCAATGTCACAGTTAGAAGTTAAAGGACAAACTCCACTCTGTACGAGAGCAAGAAGAAAATAAACTGCCACCCACAAACACATAGTATACACATGTACCTCACTTGAGGTTTTGAAAACCAGAATAACAATTTAGTACTTGATTGTCGGTGTCAGATTTGCTTTACTGCACTAGTTGAACCGTGCATTGTCAACCACACACACACACACACACTCCCTCCACCCCTCGCTGAGAATCATTCCACATGTCTAGCAGGCTTACCTGTGGCCACAGGAGAACAAAAACAAGCAGCGAATGCAGCGTCTGCCAGCGTGCAGGATTCCTGTCACTGCATGCACTGTAATGAGCTCTTAATTACCCTGTCTGTCTGGGGCACCAGCGGAGAAACTTGCAACACTAGCACACTATTGTGTATGTGTGTGTTTTTGTGTGTTTTCAATGTGCCTATGGTGCAATGGAGATTTAAGAATCCAGGGTAGCATTGAGCAGATGTCTGGAGACGCGTCATGTTGACAAGAAAACTGAGACAGTATTTCATTGCTCAGACAACAATATGAAGCAAGGAGGCTTTAGGAGGAGATGACACTGTATTCTTTTTTTTCTTTTAGCTTTCTTCAAGGGGAGAAATACAAGTTTCCAGCCCCCGGATAATGGAAAACATCTTTTGTAACATCGAGGCGGGAATCCGTGTAATTATAACATGTTGATGGGCGATCTGTCACCCAGCAATTCCCAAACAAACAGGCCCCGGGATTTAAAGTATCTGCAAAATACAACAGCGCCTGGCAGGGCTGCCAAAAGCAGAGATGTGTGTGCTGTTGATATGTAAACACCTCCCTGTGTCTCTGAACGGGATTTATTACAACAAGTCTATTTATGTTTGAGCTTCGCTTGTAATGCTGTGGTGTTGTTGCCTGCTCGCGATTCCTACGCATACGGGAGCGACATATATATACGCTTCCAGCCCGCCGCTCAGACGCTCCAGCGGATAGATGAGGTGGGAGGGAGAAGGGCCTGCTGCTCTGTTATTTAATTATTTTTTACCGCTCCTGCCCTGCGGTATGCCGTCATGATGGTAATGCCACAGATTAAGGTGTGTGGTTTTTACAGCCCTTCCCCTCGTCTGTCTCACACACTCCTTGTAGATGGCCTCCAGTCACTCCAGTCAGTGGCAGCTGTAACGTCAAGCTCAAGGCCTTATACCGTCTCTGACAGCTCTAATGTTATGTTAAAGTGTTGTGTCTGCTCATGGTGTATGTACTGTACGTGTGTGTGTGTGTGTGTGTGTGTGTGTGTGTGTGTGTGTGTGTGTGTGTTGCAACATTGCAGCCCTTTGAAGCCTGTGACGCTCTAATTCTTGGCCTAATCCCGTGTGAGGCAGACGAGAGCAGAGCAAAGAGCTCCTCTTCGTCTGCTGTCTGGACCAAGTCTGTACACCTCTCCCTGCCGATCGGAGCTAACCCCCCCCCGCATTCAAGTCAACACTCAGAAACTTAAATCTCCCTGTATAAGCCTAGCTGCAGGGGGCTTTTTATTGGCAGACAACCTACAGAGCTCACGCCAAACTCAAACCCATCAGAAAATTATCATCACAGTGGCTGTATTGTGTTGAAGCGCCGCAGTGTTTATTTTCAGCACAAGTAGTCATTGGGGTTTCTAAAATGGCTGAGATGTTCTCTCCTCGGTACAGGCAGTGCGAGGGAACGAAATCAATATCATCGGTCAGTAAGGATGAGGGGGGGGGGGGGCAAAATATCCTTTGTTTTCGGCAGTCAGCAGTCATACTGGTGACTCAGCGCTGGCTAAGCTGAGCACAAGGCCAAACACTGGTGAATGGCTGCGACACACGCTGATAGAGGTCCACCCACACACGCCCAGAGCTCCCAAACAAGCCCCCCCGTACACAGCAACATGCTGATACAAAGGTAATGAGATTCATTAGCTAGCATGAGAACTAGAGAGTGGGTAGGAGAGGATGGCACAGAGTGTGTGTGTGTGTGTGTGTGTGTGTGTGTGTGTGTGTGTGTGTGTGTTTAGTCTGTATCCTGTTAAAGAGGCTCTGACATATGACGGCGAGTGAACACTCATCCTCACTCCAAGCATCACCCACACAGCTCTCTACACACACACACACACACACACACGCATAAAACAAACCCCCTGCCCTTCATCGCACCATCTCAGTCTGGGTCTCAGCCCCCCCCTCCCCCACCCCCACACATTCGACCAGTCTGAGAGTGACGTGATTGCCAAGGTAGCGGGCGGCTGTTAAATTCCTAAGGCTGTAGCGCGCGGTGTGCGGAGGCCAGCTCCAGCACCGAGGCTAAGCTCGGTTGGCAGCACCCGCCATGCCACCTGGCCACAGACTCAACCCTGCACGCTGTGGGGCCCGGACCCACCAACGCAGGGCATCCGGGGACAAAACTGACACGAGCTTCCCCTCGGACGGCCAACACACATAACAGCCCCCAGATATGTGGAGCAGAACTCAAAAGCCCAGCGTGGCGGAAACACACACGAAGCGCTCTTGGCTCAGTTTACTGCTGGGTGAACTCCACACACTGTACTGTGTTGATGTTTAACAGATTGGTGTTATGGATTACTTACCCTCTGGCCAAATAAAACCAAATATGTTTGTTTTATTGAAGGAGTGATTTACTTCTAAGTAATGGCGGTTAATGTGCGCGTACTTTACAGTGCAGCGGGGGATGTTGGTTGGTTGTGGTTGTATGCATTAGTGGTCCTCACCTTGTGTGGTGCATATGGGGCGGGGATTATTGTTCACCGGGCCTATCCGCATAGACCGCTGGTAGCGCTCGATCTCTGACAGCCTGTCCGAGAACTGCATCTTCTGGGGGTCTTCTATCTTCACTCTGTGCCCTGAAACAGCGACATGAGGAGGACGGGTAAGAGAGAAATCAAGGACTTGCCAATTTACCACCTACACAACCAGGAAAATGGCACAAGATGGCACTTTATATTTCCAGCGTTTGTACAAAAATAGCAAAAACAATAACAAGAGTCCTATTGGAAAACCTTTCCCTCTTCCAAATTTCTTGACGAAGCCGGGCAGTTTCTAATGTTCTGGCAAAAAAAAACTTCTCTTCGCGTGTCTAAACTGTAATCAGTGTAAAATCAACTTGGACCATGACATTCCATCAATATCCTCCGCCGTATAATTCACAAACACTCGCACAGGATGAAATTATATAAGGGAGGGGAAGAGACACTGTCACCATGTTTTCAGCTTGCAAACACAAAAATATTATTAGAATGTTAGCAGACCTTGACATACATCGACTAGACTCTAAGTGTTACTCAAACTGCACCTGCTGCCGCGTCATCCGCAGATAACAATAGTGTAAGTGGTTGAAAATAATTTGTGCGAGAGAAGGCTGTTTCCCCTGAACCTGAAGTCAAGGAAATAATGAACTACGAATTGTGACATTAGGCCCTTCTATGAACTGCTGAAGCTTAGTGATCTTATCTTGCCACCTTTAAAAAAAAAAACCAAGAAAGAAGTGAGTAGATTTGCCCCCAATAACCATCCCTCTCTCGCTCTCACACCCACACAAACATTCAGATCTGACTGACACAGCACTTAGTCAGAAGGAACCACCCAGACGAGGCTACCAGACCATATAGTCATCAGTCTTAAACATAACGGATAAAGAAAGAGACAGCTTTTGTAGCTGTGTGTGTGTGTGTGTGTGTGCAGGATGTGAGAATAAGTGAGGCATATCTGCTGCATCTCTTTTTATCCAGACCACGGAAAACTAACCAACACACTTAGTGCCCTTATCACTTTGATGTCCCGTTCAGGGAGATGGTAAGAAGAAAAAAACCTCTGTACATGCCTTTTATGTACACACACGTACGCAGACATGTACAAATACACATGTTCACACACACACGCACGCACACACACACATGTGCTGTACATGTGAACACACGTTAAATGTCAGACGTGAGTCCGGATGAGGGCTATGCCTCTAATGGGAGGAAGAGATTTTAATGTAACTATCAATGCACCAAAACTGTGTGTGAACCATGTATACATTCTGTGGTTTTCTTCCTGGCATCTCTACAGAGTAGCCTAATGTGAAGTAATGGCTGGATTTGAATATTTTATCACTATATAAAGGGGGCAATGCAGACGGGCCAATATGGATTTTGCCCGTCCTTTCTCTCCACTGACCCATGGGCAATATATCTTCCCTCGGAGGCTGACCCATGGGTAAAGTTTCCTCTCGTTTACCGCTCTGTCCATTTGTTTGTGCCCACCGCCTCCCCTCCGTCCTCTCTTTACGAACTGTATAGAAATATCTGGAATTGACAGCCCCCAATACACACGCACACAGATGCACAAAAGGGTACGCGGCCGCGCATTGATGCACAGACACAATGTCTGAACAGCAGGCAGTTACTGAATACAAAACCCCTCCTGTCCAAAGCCAAAGGGCAGCACAGAATGCTACTATTTATTTCATTCACACCCACTGATCAACAAATCCCTTGTACTTTATGTGTGTGTGTGTGTGTGTGTGTGTGTGTGTGTGTGTGTGTGTGTGAGTGTGAGTGTGTGACAGAGAGAGAAAGAAATATGTCAGAGTGGAGACGGCAATGCTGTTGCTGCTCTCCAGTTGTTTGTTTTGCTGAGCATTAAGGACGTTGGAAGCCAAAGGAAAGGACGGTGTGTGTGTGTGTGTGTGTGTGTGTGTGTGTGTGTGTGTGTGTGTG